GGCTGACTAAATACTTTTTTGCCACACTGTATATACATATTGAGAAATCTACAGTTGTCCAATCTTGTAGCTAAATTGTTCAGACTGATTGCCACGAAGAGAAGCCAGTAATTTCAGATGGCTTTGCCTTTGCTACAGGTGCAGTTTACATTTGCACAGAAGATGTTTTCCCTAATAAACGCCTGCAGCAATTGATCGAGCAGCTGCCCAAACTGAGAAGTGACGTTCCATCTGAGGTGATGCAGAAGATAAAATTTGGAAATGGAATATTTGTTGAACATGCAGCAGACCTGGTGAGTGGTTTTTCTGGGTGTCAGTGCTTCAAAATCTTAAATCCAATCTGTGCAGCTGAAAAGGATAAGTGATGCTCCATTCAAATGCAGAAAGGGCAGTTTGCAGATCAAAATGACAACACTGTTTCTGTAAATACCACCTCTCAGCAAATCTATACAGAAAAAGGGAGGTTTATTTATTTATTTTTACAAGATATATAAAGTTAGCCTTTCCCTCTCAAATGTTCTCAATACTATGAAGCCAAAAGGTTGCAAACAATACATATAAACCATCCATTAGTTAAACTGTGCAAAAATAAAGAATGGTCTCGTTAAAAAGACCCTAACTTGGAGAAGACATTCAACAGATCAGGTTTGAGCTCCACCACTGCAAAACGCAGTACAGAACTTCTGAAAAATGAGCATTTTTCCTCTATTTTTTTTAACAAAAAGGTAAGCTTTTTGTTCTCAGAGCTGTGAAACTATGCTGGCAAAGTCGAAGAACCCTCAGAAGCTAGAGCAGGGCTGTTATGTGCCTATATTTTTGGCAATAAGTCAACTGAATTATAAAGATCTTGTAAAGAAGCCCATTTCTGTTTTCCTGCACAACCCATCTTGCACATCTTGCCATCAAGAGAAAACTAAAAAATAAAATTGGTGTGAATAAAAATAGATTTTAATCTGTAAAATTGTTCATCATACAAAAACTATAAATAATGTATCCCAAGTCACAGAATCATTGGCTGCCTATTTTTATTTATTTACATATAAAGTCTTAAATGTCATTACTGCCTTGAATTTTAACTTTTAAAAGGTTTGGGCATAGAATGCAGATTATAGTCTGCCTCACTGTTTGGTGTTAATTTGCATTTTTTCTCCACATGCTTCTGATGTTAGAATAGTTTGTCCATTAAGTGGTGGACAGCAGTAAGACTCAGGGGCTGTGATCCAACCGGTCTGCAGTCTTCCACAGATCTATACTCTGGAGACACGGGTGTGGCTCAACAGAGGACAAATTCAACTAGAAGGGGATAGGTGAGATAGAAAAGGAATCAAGCACAGGGAAGACTTGATTTGCTGTTTCAAAGGTGGCAAAGAGAGAGGGGGAGACATTGGCACTGAATTACTGTGCTGCAGGAGTAGAGAATCTTTCCAGCTAGGTATTTCATTGCATGGTTCTGTTTTTAAGGAGAAATTGGTCTGGCTTAATTAGTTGCTTGTTTTTCCTCTGGCATATTCTGTATTCTCTTTTTGTAAGTTCGGTGAGGAGATAAATTGGAATTTCCCCAGTGCACGGTAAACCTTTTGCTTCACATTGCTTCTGTTAATTTTTTTTTTAAGGAAAGCAAAGCAAAAGTGGAAAAATGTACATCAAATGTTTCCCTTTTATTCTTTCCAACCCAATGGCATTGTTCACCGCAAAGTGCGGAACCCCTTTCCCCCGGGTTCTGCCCAATAAGACCCCGAAGACGAGAATTGGCTGTTCGCCTTTTTATTGAAGTGCTTCAAGGAAAAGGACTCCGTCTCGCTAAAGGGAGAGGAGCCCCAAGCAAACTTTTACATCCTTTTTATACTTGTTGAGAAAAAAAAAAGGAATAAACATAATTGGTTACATTGAGATAAGAAAATAGATATGATTGGTTACAATGTTGCGCAGACACATCTGATTCCATGTTACCTATTAGCATCCCATAATTTTAGCATGTTTTATGTTTTCTAAAATCCCCATCTTTGGGGTGTGCGTTTTGCTATGCTAATTAATCAAATATTACCTCTCAGTCAAGCCTCTAGTTTTGCTGATTGAGCAAAGGTTGCCCCTCGGTCAAGCCTCCAGTTTTCTACATCTCTTAACACTCCTCCTTTATCTCTAACATTCCTCCACCTGCCAAACCGCCATGCTGCGGTTTTTACATGACTCAAACTCCCAAGTCTCATCTTCTAACCACAAGGTCTTATTGCTACTCTCAGCATTTTGGAAAGTAATTTCCTAAAAGGGCTCAGAACTGTGGCTGTCCATCTGTCAGAAGAATAATTCTCTCAAACAGAACATAATATAACCATATTTGGTGTGGTGGGAGAAGCTGAAAACAGACAAAAAATATTGATTTAGAAAATGGCCAGGGGCTGCAGAGAAAAAAAACCCCCTCAATGCATCCATGGGGGGGGCAGTTGGGCAGTGGCTGAGCATGCTGTCACTCCTCTCTACTAAACCCCTCCCTTCTTCCTTGATCACATGACCCAGAGCAGCGTGTTTGCTGCTTGGCCTACGCTTCCTGATGTGCACAAATACTGAAAGCCAAACAGATGCAATATGAAGGAAGAACAGAAACTTGTATCCAGAGGCAACACTGATGTAACTATCCTGATTAGAGCCTCTGACACAAACAGATGGGCAGTGCAGTTGTACATACCCCGATTAGTCCCTGGAGCGAAAGTATGTGTGCACACATGGAACACATTACTTTGTTAAACAGAAGAAAATACAAATGCCTCCTATGGCTGCTGCTGGTAAAAGGTTGGAGAGAAGTCAAAAAGCCATGGTTTTTTTTTTTAAGTTTCTGGTGTTTACCTGAACTGCAAGGTCAGTAAACAATGAAATATTTTTTTCCAGTGTTTCCTGAAACTTTCATGACTACACATCAGCCTTTGTAAATGCTTCTTTTTAAAACCAGCTTTTTCTGGTCACACCTCCATATTTACTTGCTGTATTGATACTCCCTATGGGTTCCTGGCAGTGTACAGCATAAAACAGATAATAAAACACAGGATAAAATTTACAGGGTAATATCTTTACTTACCCAGAATGATATTGACATAGCATCTCCCAGTGATAACACCTAAGCATTAAAAGCTCTCCTGAATAACTCCATTTTAGCCACCTTCCTAAATATTAGTAGGGAGCATGCCATACAGACATTGGGGAGGGAGGCTGTTTCAGTTGCTGGAACAGTGGCCAGAAGGGAAAATGAATACAGTACATTAATGCAGTGTTTCTCAATCGTGGGAACTTTAAGATGTGTGGACTTCATGGCTGGCTGGGGAATTCTGGGAGTCCACACACCTTAAAGTTCCCAAGGTTGGGAAATACTGCATTAATGTATTGGTAAGAACCTCTTTCCAGTACGTTGCTCCCGTATTTTGTTTTTCATTGGAATGATTGTCAGCTACACCTCCCACTTTGATGCTCCACCACGAGCAGACAGTAAGAACTGCATAGAGGAAAAACAGATTTATTGTATGGTGCTTTACAAATGGCTTGAAGATTGCACTGGTAGTAGTGCAGCAGAGCCCTGCAGTTAGTAGGATTTACTTCAGGTTGGAGTGGGGTAATTTTTTAGAAGAGTTAGATCACCTTGTGCTGGCCACAGATTGGCGCTTTCCTGTTGGTGTTTAGCTCAGTGCTGATGATGGCATTAGGCAGGAGCCAAGTCAGTGAGTGGGACCATGATTCTCTGGTTTTTCTCTTTCTGAGGTTTTCTGACTTGGGAAGGGAGGAGTATTAGAAGATTGAACTACAGAATGTATTTTGACCCTATTTTAGGGATTTTGCTGGCTCACTATCAGGTTTTGGCAGCACAATTCAGGAGACTTCCAAGAGCATCAAAGAATCTAGTCAGGAGCCATGTGCAGCACATGGGCCATGAATTGCCCAATCCTGGTGTACAAAATTGCAACCTCAGCTCAAAGGAATGTAAACTTTACAATAGAATACCTCTGGCCATACATAGAGTGCTTCTGTCTCACCAGAGCTGGTTTCAAAGCAGTGCAGTGTAGCCATCGGAGAAGAATTCTTGATTGGAATAAGATAAAACTTTATTTTCAGTTTCCTCTTTGTGTATCTTTAAAAAATGGTTCTATTAACATTCTTAAGAGTTCATATAGCTCAGGACCTCTTTTGAACAGACAAAAGTATAACTAGCTACTCTACTTGTATCCTTTGTTCTGCTTTGTTGTTACAAAATCTTTGTAAAGAGAAGGGCGGGGGGCGGGGGGAGATCATCAATTATACCAGTCTTAAGAGAGAAGTATGAAATGCCCCAAAAAGGCCAATGCTCCATTGACACTATTTGTACGATTTTCAATCGCAGTTCCATTCTTAGCAATTATGATTTTGTATTGCTGGTTTCAGTGGAATTTATTAGTCAGTATTAACTTAAGCTCCGGTGTTTTCAGTGAGCCACTTTCATAATGCTGAGAGGGATTGGAATCTTAAATCTCATTTTATAAGCTTAATTAAGATACAGTTTTGGAAAAGGATATAACTCAGCAGGCAGAATATATGCTTTGCATGGAGAAGGTCCTAGGTCCAATTCCTGGACTCTTTAATTATAGATAGGAAGATGGGGATTGACTACTACCTGAAATGCTGGAAAGATGCCACTACTTAGAAAATGCTAAACAATTCAGTAGCCCATCTTGGCAGAAAGAAGCTTTGAATAATCATATTTCCAAGCATAGAAAAAGGGTATCTGGCATATTCTAGAATGAGACTGCTTTAGAATGAGAAGCCATACCAATAATCCTGTTGTAAAAATCTTAATGTAATCCTATTACACATTCAAAGGGGTTAATTGGGACTTAGTCTCAAGATAATGTGCATATATTTGCAACATTTATTTGTTTGTTTGTTTGTTTGTTTGTTAAATTTCTCACCCGCCCATCTCCCCTCAATGGGGGAACTCTGGGTGACTCACACCGAACATCAAAAACATAAATATATATAAATAC